TCCCTAAATATTCTCAGTACTTAGTTTTTCTTATTATCATTACCATTTGATTATTTCGATTTCTTTTGCTATTTATTTATCGAATTTCATTTCGGGGGAATTACTGAGATCTAACACTAGTTTATTTCGAGGCTTGCCTTTCCACATGTTTGACATCATAAACGATGGAATTAGCTTGATGCAATTACCGAACATGATGTTGTACACTTTCAAAAAGAAATAACTAGCGAATTCTTTAGGTTAAAAATATACATTGATATGAGTGTTTTCATTAATTCTAGATTAGCATATCATTAAGTCCCTATTACTTATCGAAATTAAACAGAAACACACAAATATATCAGGTTAATTAATGCGTCGAAGAGCGTCTTGATATGATGTTATTTTCACTATTTCCTGGAAAATCATTTACTTTTCAGTGGTGAATTATGACTAGTTATCTGTTCTGTGCATTTTACAGTTATCATGTAGATTAGACTGAAACACGACTAACCTGTATGTAACTGGATGTGGATATATGTCCATACTAATTATATGCTCATGGTATGTTTCTTCAAAATATTGCATATTTACGTTAGTGTTGTAAACTCGGTGAAAAAATACCGACCTTTGAATTTGATTTATCAATATCAGAATGTGTTACTCACCGTCATCATTCAAAATTTCTCTACATTTTGCTTGATCTCAGCTCTATTCGCTTTTGAGTTTATCATCACTCTCTCAATAAGATACTTGAGTACATACAGTTAACCCATGATATATCGATTTCCGCGTGTCAGGCTTCGAGTTTTATTATGCTGACCAGATACTTGTACTACGTGCATGTCGGTATTTGTTATATTCAGTTCTTTTATAAGCACAACTTCTTTTGTGACTTTCAGTGTAAATGTTCGTTCCATAGTTTAAACTATCTAAATTCTTATCCAATTAATTAGATTCGATTTGGCTGCACGAGTTCGTGCTTGGGTCAAAACAGATTTAGAAATCCAAATCAGTATGGATGCTGTTAGATATCATTTGAGTCATTTTATGGATTCACGTAAAACACTTTGTGATCGTTTACGCACGACTGAAGCCAAAATGGAAAGTTGCCGAGAAGACGGTCAACCTTATGATATGTATATTGAAGAAATGAACAGTCTAACTGAATGGATTCAATGTCAAACACAACAAATTAGCGACTTACAACAAAAACTTATGGATGCTGGTGAAATATCGTTGACAGATGCCTCCGGTTCACCTCATTCGACTGCTCAAATACTCTCATCTCGTTTATCCCAACTACACAGCATCCAAGAGGCACGAATAGCTTTGAAATATCTATTCAGACAAGTAGGTTGTACTTTTTATTCTTTTCTAACCAGACTGACCAATTGATGAATCTGTCCAAATTGTCAAGCTACATTTGAATATAAGTAGTCACTGGGTAGACATACAACAACATACGTCCGTGCTATATGGTTTATTAATTTAATGATGTAGGTTACAGCAGAATGTCGATTCTGTAAACAGGCTTCGCAAAGTAATGCCAATAGGATATGAATTCCACTTATTTATTCTCTATAAAATGTAGTGATCTGATTCGACTAGTGAACAGTTCTTTATTTTGCTTATTCTTGCCCTTTTTTATTTATTTCATAGGCATCGTCATCTAAAGTTTCTAAGATTAATTTAGAAACTCAAATATGTGAATTGGAATCTCAACTAATGACAGAGAAACGAAAATCTGAGGAGAATGTAAGTTGGAATGATAAGTTTTCCACTGAAACACTAGTACTCGAATCCATTTGTGAAGTTCTTAAGTCGACGTAAAAATCCTATACCATTTGGACAGGTTCATCAATTGGTCAGTCTGGTTAGAAAAGAATAAAAAGTACAACCTACTTGTCTGAATAGATATTTCAAAGCTATTCGTGCCTCTTGGATGCTGTGTAGTTGGGATAAACGAGATGAGAGTATTTGAGCAGTCGAATGAGGTGAACCGGAGGCATCTGTCAACGATATTTCACCAGCATCCATAAGTTTTTGTTGTAAGTCGCTAATTTGTTGTGTTTGACATTGAATCCATTCAGTTAGACTGTTCATTTCTTCAATATACATATCATAAGGTTGACCGTCTTCTCGGCAACTTTCCATTTTGGCTTCAGTCGTGCGTAAACGATCACAAAGTGTTTTACGTGAATCCATAAAATGACTCAAATGATATCTAACAGCATCCATACTGATTTGGATTTCTAAATCTGTTTTGACCCAAGCACGAACTCGTGCAGCCAAATCGAATCTAATTAATTGGATAAGAATTTAGATAGTTTAAACTATGGAACGAACATTTACACTGAAAGTCACAAAAGAAGTTGTGCTTATAAAAGAACTGAATATAACAAATACCGACATGCACGTAGTACAAGTATCTGGTCAGCATAATAAAACTCGAAGCCTGACACGCGGAAATCGATATATCATGGGTTAACTGTATGTACTCAAGTATCTTATTGAGAGAGTGATGATAAACTCAAAAGCGAATAGAGCTGAGATCAAGCAAAATGTAGAGAAATTTTGAATGATGACGGTGAGTAACACATTCTGATATTGATAAATCAAATTCAAAGGTCGGTATTTTTTCACCGAGTTTACAACACTAACGTAAATATGCAATATTTTGAAGAAACATACCATGAGCATATAATTAGTATGGACATATATCCACATCCAGTTACATACAGGTTAGTCGTGTTTCAGTCTAATCTACATGATAACTGTAAAATGCACAGAACAGATAACTAGTCATAATTCACCACTGAAAAGTAAATGATTTTCCAGGAAATAGTGAAAATAACATCATATCAAGACGCTCTTCGACGCATTAATTAACCTGATATATTTGTGTGTTTCTGTTTAATTTCGATAAGTAATAGGGACTTAATGATATGCTAATCTAGAATTAATGAAAACACTCATATCAATGTATATTTTTAACCTAAAGAATTCGCTAGTTATTTCTTTTTGAAAGTGTACAACATCATGTTCGGTAATTGCATCAAGCTAATTCCATCGTTTATGATGTCAAACATATTCCAGTTAATCGATACCACGTGTATCTGCTGGATACTGCCATTTTACTGTAATTCTAACTGTTATATCTTACTTCTGAAAAATAAAATTGCTATATGCAGGAAATACAGACTTATTTGTTTTGATGGAGGTAGGGGGGGTTCATGGATTTTAGCACGACTGTAATAATATTCTCACTAAAGAGCTAAGTGAGTGCGTAGACCAATGTAAGGTACCATACAGGGTGCCTTTGAGTTACTCGTGTTCCATTAGTGTCGGCAGAGACATTACTTGCTTATCATATGACATTTGAATAAGAAGCTATGGGATTAGACTCAGGGACGGTTAGGATATATAACGCGTGTCCATCCATCAGTTGCCGTGGCAACTCATGATGGCTAGAATAAGTTGTGAGAGGACTCGAGTCTGTAGACTCCTCAAGAAAATGACGAAGATATGCACCAAATCAACTTATGAAGAGCGCCTCCAATCACTTGACCTCTACCCATTAGAGTATAAACGTCTTAGAGGTGACCTTCTAATGGCTTACAGTATCCTTAACACTTCTGGACACTCTCAAACACCTACTTACGCTTGGTTCCAACACTAACCTAAGAGGTAACACCCAAAAACTGGAGACAACATAGCAGAACGGACTGTAGACGCAACTTCTACTCCTTAGGAGTTGTCAAATGCTGGAATCCGCTGCCTGCCGAGCTAGTCCAAGCGACTTCCCAGGAGTCCTTTAAGAGGCAAGTGGATCTATTCTTAAGGATTAAGGATAGTATCATACTATGATTTACTACTACTACTATTAATAATAATTCTACTAACAGTCATTTTTCTTCAGAATTAGTTACAAATCTCATGAATAAAAATAAAAAGTTAGAGGTTAGTAAGTTGTATCAAGTTGTTATAATCACTATATTCTATTCATTTACTTTATCTCTGGATTAAAAATTTCTGTGATTATTATTTTCAAGTTTTGCATCATGACCCCAAGACAATCATAATCAGATATTCTAAATTTCTGGTGCGTTGAACACTTGTGATGATCACTGATCAGTTTCTATGCCCTCATGGGTGTTAAACTTGAAAAGTGAACAAAATTGGAGAAAAATGAATGCAACAAGTGGTTTACCTTCAATTCTGTTGTAGTTACGAAAATGAGGGGTTATTTCCCGGATTAGTATCATCGACCCTGAAGTCATAGATACTGTCAGGAAATATGTTAAAATTATTGATAATTTGGATTAGAGAAGGACATCAAGTGCATTCGATTTCTAGAATTCTAAAGAATTTTCCAACTGTATAGATTGATTTGCAGTGTTTTTCAACTCCGTTCTCTAAATAACGTTCATTGAAATTCTCTAACACGATCAATAGAAAATTCACATAAATGATGAAGATAGCTAAATATTCGATACCTTCAGACAATAAATCAGATCTATATACGCCAATAAGTTAAACCTAAGTGTCACTAAGTCTGCATCGGACAACTGATCGGAACGTCCCTCAATGTCCTGTGCTAGTTGTTATATAGTTGTGACATAAAAATAGCCTATTAATCATGTAACTAAACTATGTACCGAATTGTTAACTTGATGGGTATTGATTGAATACTTTTCTAATAAATTTCTCGAGTTATACCTCTATATCGCAGTTATATCAGTTTTTTTTTTATTTCATCACGAAAACTATAAATCCTGTGAATAAATTTATTGCATTCATCAGATAATTCGGTATGAACTATACTCTAAGTGTGAAGACTAATAATACCTCGTGCTTGCCCAAATTGATGTAGGTGGAACGAGGTTTGAACCAGAGGCTCAATTGTTTAACGCTTTAATTCAATAGCTTACCCCTCTTATTATCCCAATCAAATTGCCGTAATAAATAGATTTTTAACTTATACATGTATTTATTTTAAAAATAATCATTTATTATAGAGTGAGAAGCTTCTGCTTTGTGCAGAATTAGATCATATTGTCGAACAAATGAATGAATTATACAAAAATCGTTTCGATACTGATCATTTACATGATACAGTAATTTCTGAACTCCAAAAAATCGAATCAATTCTCAAGTAATTTCTGATATTTATTTTAACAAAAAAAATATAATTACAGCTCCTTAAATCAATTTGTTAGAGATAAATTCAATGAATATCCTGAACTGATTAGTTATATTCAAGAATTGGAAGATATCCTAACTGGATTGATAAAACTTTATAATGAGTCGAATAAAGTAAGTTCGTGGTGAAATGACTTTTCGGATATATTTATCACTTTGCTTATCCTTCCACTTAATCTGTTATTCTTTTGATTTTCGTATCAAAATCTCTATATCAAGGTGTGATACTTGTAGAGATGATCAGGAATAAAACCTACTTTACTTATTGTTCTAGTTATCCCCCATATATCAGCATAGAGTGTTTACAATCCTGTGTGATTGGGACTCTTTACTTTATTTGTACGAACCAATTATTTATCCCTGTGTCATATCCTTATACGCAATCTTTTGTCGAATATATTACTACCATTGAAGTAACTGCTTCTATGAATTCGGTGTTGATCTTGTTGTGCTAAGTAATTATGGCAACTTGGATCGATGCATATATGTACCTGGTCATATGTTATAGCTGACTGACTGAACTAAATCATGATTACACTGTGAATCCCCTTACTAACAAGTTTTTGCCTACTAGCCAATCTAAGTTCAATAACCCCTAGAATTTGTAAATTCATCGTGCCACTTTATTTTATCACACTTCAATTTATTCTTAGTGGGCTGAATATGCGTAATAGTCACTTAAATCACCTTATTCGTCAAATGTTTAAATTATAAGTTTCAAGAAATCCTATTTAATAAGACACGCTCCGACTGTTATTCAGATAATCTTTTAAAGCTTTTGTGATATAATTTTGATCATTTTATGTAGGTGACAAAACTTCAAGAACATGATCGCCGGCTTCAATGTGAAATGTCTCGTATGGTTTCAGTGCACGAACGGCAACAAGCTGTATTAAAGCGCCGTATTGAAGCTGCTGCGGCTGCTGAACGTCGACTTAAAGAATTGTTATTACGTCAAAAGGCTATTAGAAATGAACGTGATAAATGTGTATCTGAAGGGAACAATGCTAAAAAGTAAGAAAGTATTTTATTTTGTGAATGAATGTACATTTGTCCCTTATACTAATAATAACAATCTTGTTCTCACTAGCGACTAACGTCGAGAGGTAGTTCCCAGAATTCCAGTGAAGGTCGTGGATTAGTCGGGTCCACTTGTATAGGTTATAGTCAGTCAGTCAGTCAGTCAGCTACAACGTAGAACCAGGCACATATGTGCATCGGTCCAGGTTGCCATACCTCATTAGCACAACAAGATGAACACCGGATTCATAGGAGTGGTTAGGTCAAAGGTTGCAATAAGGATATAGTATAGGAAGGAAGAATTAGTTAGTAGAAAGAAAGATATAAAGTCATTTTAATCTCTTAGTTTAAGAGAAGACAGGGAGTGTATACACCTACGCCATTGTGATCGATTCTGAGCCATGTCACCAAGAGTCTCCAACCATTGGTTACGAAAGTCACGCGGACCCCAACCAAGTAGTCTGCATCTACCAACATGGCTAAGACTAGAAGTTAGTGACTTCAAGCACTGATGCCACGTTTTGGTTTGGCCGCCCTTAACTTTCTTCCAACCATCCCGAACACCGGTTAGCATTGCACGTCGTGGTAATCGGTGTTCAGGCATACGTAATACGTGGCCCAACCATCTCAGTCGATGAAGATTAACAACCTCATCAACTGATTTACCATCATTCCCTAATACCCTACGTCTAACCTCACTATTACTTACCCGGTGATCCCAGCAGATGCCAGCAATATTTCTAAGGCATCTGTGGTCAAATACTTGTAGCTTACGGGTGTCTTCTACTCTTAAAGGCCATGTTTCGCTGCCGTAAAGTAAGACAGAACGGACTGCCGCGCAGTATACTCGTCCTTTTATTGATAGACGGATATCTCGCCTCCGCCAAAGGTGACGTAAGTTGGCAAAAGCCAAACGAGCTTTTCGAATCCGTGCTGAGATTTCGTCAGACACCAACCCATTAGGGCTGATCAGACTTCCAAGATAAGTGAAGTTGTCGACGCGTTCGACTACTTCACTCCCTATCCTTAGTTCAGGTGTTGACGCAGACCAGTCCTGAAGCAACAACTTGCATTTAGATGGAGAGAAGCGCATCCCAAACATTCTGGCATTGTTGCTTAGTGCTACCAGAAGACTCTGCATTTTGTCAGCGTCTTCACCAAACAGGACTATATCATCTGCGTATTCTAAGTCGATAAGTGGACCTCCTGGAAGGAGATCAATACCCGAGAATTCAGTCGACGAGAGTGTTATTTCCATCAATAGGTCTATGATGAAGTTAAACAAAAATGGAGAAAGTGGACAGCCTTGACGGACACCACTTGAAGTTGCAAAAGTAGATGACAGTTCGCCATAAGCCCTGACTCGACTAGTAGTGTTCGAGTAAAGAGCCTTCACAAGGTTTATGTACTTCTGAGGTACGCCTTTCAATGACAGACACTGCCACAGAGTCTCACGGTCTACAGAGTCAAACGCTGCTTTTAAGTCAAGAAAGACCACCATCGTCGGACGCCGATAGGTATGCCTGTGTTCTAGAACCTGACGAATGGTGAATATGTGGTCGATGCAGCCACGACCAGGTCTAAAGCCAGCTTGGTTCTCTCGAGTTTGTAGTTCACGAGTCTTAGTTAGACGTCTGATAATTATCGAGGCCAGTATTTTAGATACTATGTTTGTTAAACTAATCCCTCTGTGGTTATCACAGGATGATTTTGACCCTTTCTTATATATTGGGACGATAAGTGATTGCGACCAGTCAGATGGGATAAAGTCTAATTCCCAGATCTTAGCTAAAATATTAGTCAACCTAATCGCTAAAATTGGACCACCATCCTTAAAGACCTCTGGAGCCAATCCATCTGGACCAGCTGCCCTTCCTCGTTTCAGATTAACTATAGCCTTTTGAACTTCAGCAAGAGTTGGGGGACCTACTTCAATGTTCCATTCACATTGTCTGGGAATGGAGGGTAGTTGTAGAGTAGCTGAAGGCCAGCTGAACTGTTCTCTGAAATGTTCCGCCCATCGTTCTAAACGTCTGGACTGGGAGCAGATGAGAGTATCATCTTTTTCCGAAATAATCTCACTTACACTTGACTTATTAATTCCAGTTTCTTTTATTAGTCTGTAAAGCTGTCTTGTGTTCCCTATAGTCGCCGCCTTTTCCATCTCTTTTGCTTTCGTTACCCACCACTGCTCACGGTCGTTCCTTAGACTTTTTCTTAACCTAGATCTGATTTGTTTTCGCTCTTCATCATGTTCAGAACCTGATGGGACGAGTTTGCGAGAATCCATCAGTGTGATAGACTTTGAAGAAATCCACTGGTTCCTTGCAACTCTGTGGTTTAAGTCACTAATAGATGTCACTGCTGTTTCCACAGCTGATTGTATGCCCTTCCAAGCAACATCTGGGTCAGCCTCGTCTTCACAACTACCTAAGTGTGACCTCAGTTGTTCCTGGAACCTACTTTTGGTTTTCTCGTTACTCAACTCAGTTCTAACGGGTCTTTTTAATGTTGCTTTTTTGCGTCCAGTGAGGCGCAAGCAGATGCGTGCCCGTATTAGGGCATGGTCGGAGTCCAAGCAGGTACCCCAGAATGAGCGACAATCTTCTACCGACCCTCTCCAACGATGACTGATGGCAATATGGTCTATTTGAGTCCATCGTTGGTTTGGTGTAGGGGGTCGCCATGTTAGACGATGCCTCTCCTTATGCTTAAAATTTGTGTTTGCTAAAAATAAACGATTGTCTGAGCACAGCTGCAGCAGACGATCACCATTATCTGTTCGCTGTGTCGGAATACTAAAATATCCACCTAAATGCCTTTCTGTTTGGTTTAAGCTACCTATCTGAGCATTAAAATCACCTGCTACGAGTACTATGTCTGAGCGTTTAGCTTTCTGAAGAAGTTCAGAAAGCTTTCTGTAAAATTCATCTTTCACTTCATCTGAGCTGCAGTCAGTGGGAGCGTAGACAGAAACGACAAAAAGGCAACGACGTTTGTCCCTATCCTTCCGAGTTCTTACGTAGCCGTTCAGCCGAACAGCACATAGACGACTGTTGACGGGGATCCACTCTAGCAGTGCTTGTTCGGCCCTCATGCTTAGTGCTATGCCTACACCTGCCAGTCCACGAGAACTGGCCATCGGGTCACCAGATACACGGAGGGTGTATCTCGTTGGCTCTCCGTTTTGCCGAGGTGAGGTCAAGTGAATGACCACACTGGGATCCTGTATGCGTGTTTCAGAGACACAGCATACATCAATGGAAAGAGACTCTAGGGTTTTAGCCAAGGAAGCCTGCTGACCGATTTGACATAGAGTGCGTACGTTGAAAGCTCCAATGTGTAGTTTGGAGCGAGGTTTCAGTAGACCTGGGACAGAGTTTTGAGCACTAGAATCGTTGGCTATGGTGACACTTGAGGAGGAAGCCGAAGGAGGAAGTTTAGGGTTGAAAGTCGATGTAGGAGGAATAATAGGAATTGAAGAGGAAGGTTGATTATGAATACAGTGGTCTTGGGTGCTGTTAGAGGTATGAGGGCGGTTATCACTTCCCGGTTGCCCACACCGTGGAAGGGTTCTTCTGGAGGTACCTGAAAAGGAAATTGGATTAGAGGCGGTCTCAGTGACCTGAGAGCGTGACCGCAGTGCCCAAGGGACAACTGCTTGAGGCCGGTCGCGCACGGCCTTTTTGTGGGAGGTTTTCGACGTGTTAGCTCCGTTCTTCAAAGGGCCTTACCGCCGGAGACGGAAATCCGTGAGGTAAGGTGAGGTGTGCATTTTTAGGGTCGACCTTTTCTAACCCCACCCCTCCTTGTGGGAAGGCAGCATCGCTGTCATGCTGGTTGTCTGAAGGAAACACCTTACTGCTGTCACACCTCTGTACAGTCAGCAGTACGACTTCGCCTTCGGACCTTGGGTTTGTTGCTTTTAGTCTTACCGCTCTTCAACCGACCTGTCTGACATGGTAGGACCTTGAGGAACGGTTGTTCCAGCCAGTATAGCTCGGTTGCTTCATCACGATAGGCAAGCCCGACCACCACGTCAAGGTAGCAACAACGGTCGGGGTATAGGTTATAAGGTGTTGCTAGATAGTTGCTCAATATCGCTTATTGAATAATATGAAAAATTAAAAACTGTTGAATAAGGACTAGTCCAAAAGCTAAGCACTTGTCACGAGACTTTAAGTTCTTAAGCCTAATCCTCGGTGTGGTCGTGGATGCTCATTGCGTCCCATTCTAGTACCAAACAACTTTCAAATACTTTCTGGCTTTTTAAACGATTGTCCATCTAAGGATAGGCCATGATATAAACTATAATATCCACGTCTATCTGCTTTATATGATTGTTTAAAACTGGCATAAATTTTGGTCAGAATATCTTCAAATTTACTGTTTATCACAAACATTATTAACTCGAAAAATCGGGGATTCAGTCATTTAGTCCTAGTTTAGAATCCGTGTACAGTGCTCAATGTTAGTCATAGTAGGAATCAGTCGCCAAGAAGCTAGATGTAGAAAAATGTCTGGTGATTTTTCCAAAAGAACAGCTGTCCACGCAATATTAAGAAATATCTATAAAACTCATGAACAAGCTCAAAATCTAATATAGAAATCCACAAGCCGATTATTTTACTATATATGAAGGACATCAGAAAGTACAACCTGATTTTTGAGGCTCTCTAGTGTATAGGTATGGCTCATAAACCTGCAAAATAATTTCGATAAATATTATACAAACCATAAAATGAAATAATCTAAGAAAATAAGTTGGATATCATGTAAAAAATAGACTGCTCCAACTGTAATAAAAAGTACATCTGGCACGATAGCCCCGATCTTACTCTTTGTTTACATGAACACCAGTTACGTGTTAAAGGTCACGACGTATTTTCATTTACGTCAATGTATGATGGCAATTGCGTATACGCGTTTGACTGTGGAACGGTATCTTGGACTGAGGCAACACAAGGAAGGCCAGAAAATTATTTAGAATCTCAGTTCTCAGGTCAATTTGTAGTCAAGAGATTTTTCAAAACAGAATCAATTTATCACTCATTTGAAGCTATAATAAATCAAGGCGAACACATAAGGAATGATCGATCAAAGACTGACAACAATCAAGAGCAAAGCTGACAGGATAGGTCATTTAGAGAAATTCCGATAGCTCACCTCTATCTGAAGTTCGTGTTATCAAGAAAGACTGTGAAAGCCCCATGATTAAATCACCCAGCTGCGAGGATGCAACTCCCTAAATATTCTCAGTACTTAGTTTTTCTTATTATCATTACCATTTGATTATTTCGATTTCTTTTGCTATTTATTTATCGAATTTCATTTCGGGGGAATTACTGAGATCTAACACTAGTTTATTTCGAGGCTTGCCTTTCCACATGTTTGACATCATAAACGATGGAATTAGCTTGATGCAATTACCGAACATGATGTTGTACACTTTCAAAAAGAAATAACTAGCGAATTCTTTAGGTTAAAAATATACATTGATATGAGTGTTTTCATTAATTCCTATTACTTAATCCCTATTACTTATCGAAATTAAACAGAAACACACAAATATATCAGGTTAATTAATGCGTCGAAGAGCGTCTTGATATGATGTTATTTTCACTATTTCCTGGAAAATCATTTACTTTTCAGTGGTGAATTATGACTAGTTATCTGTTCTGTGCATTTTACAGTTATCATGTAGATTAGACTGAAACACGACTAACCTGTATGTAACTGGATGTGGATATATGTCCATACTAATTATATGCTCATGGTATGTTTCTTCAAAATATTGCATATTTACGTTAGTGTTGTAAACTCGGTGAAAAAATACCGACCTTTGAATTTGATTTATCAATATCAGAATGTGTTACTCACCGTCATCATTCAAAATTTCTCTACATTTTGCTTGATCTCAGCTCTATTCGCTTTTGAGTTTATCATCACTCTCTCAATAAGATACTTGAGTACATACAGTTAACCCATGATATATCGATTTCCGCGTGTCAGGCTTCGAGTTTTATTATGCTGACCAGATACTTGTACTACGTGCATGTCGGTATTTGTTATATTCAGTTCTTTTATAAGCACAACTTCTTTTGTGACTTTCAGTGTAAATGTTCGTTCCATAGTTTAAACTATCTAAATTCTTATCCAATTAATTAGATTCGATTTGGCTGCACGAGTTCGTGCTTGGGTCAAAACAGATTTAGAAATCCAAATCAGTATGGATGCTGTTAGATATCATTTGAGTCATTTTATGGATTCACGTAAAACACTTTGTGATCGTTTACGCACGACTGAAGCCAAAATGGAAAGTTGCCGAGAAGACGGTCAACCTTATGATATGTATATTGAAGAAATGAACAGTCTAACTGAATGGATTCAATGTCAAACACAACAAATTAGCGACTTACAACAAAAACTTATGGATGCTGGTGAAATATCGTTGACAGATGCCTCCGGTTCACCTCATTCGACTGCTCAAATACTCTCATCTCGTTTATCCCAACTACACAGCATCCAAGAGGCACGAATAGCTTTGAAATATCTATTCAGACAAGTAGGTTGTACTTTTTATTCTTTTCTAACCAGACTGACCAATTGATGAATCTGTCCAAATTGTCAAGCTACATTTGAATATAAGTAGTCACTGGGTAGACATACAACAACATACGTCCGTGCTATATGGTTTATTAATTTACCAATTGATGAACCTGTCTGGTTAGAAAAGAATAAAAAGTACAACCTACTTGTCTGAATAGATATTTCAAAGCTATTCGTGCCTCTTGGATGCTGTGTAGTTGGGATAAACGAGATGAGAGTATTTGAGCAGTCGAATGAGGTGAACCGGAGGCATCTGTCAACGATATTTCACCAGCATCCATAAGTTTTTGTTGTAAGTCGCTAATTTGTTGTGTTTGACATTGAATCCATTCAGTTAGACTGTTCATTTCTTCAATATACATATCATAAGGTTGACCGTCTTCTCGGCAACTTTCCATTTTGGCTTCAGTCGTGCGTAAACGATCACAAAGTGTTTTACGTGAATCCATAAAATGGCTCAAATGATATCTAACAGCATCCATACTGATTTGGATTTCTAAATCTGTTTTGACCCAAGCACGAACTCGTGCAGCCAAATCGAATCTAATTAATTGGATAAGAATTTAGATAGTTTAAACTATGGAACGAACATTTACACTGAAAGTCACAAAAGAAGTTGTGCTTATAAAAGAACTGAATATAACAAATACCGACATGCACGTAGTACAAGTATCTGGTCAGCATAATAAAACTCGAAGCCTGACACGCGGAAATCGATATATCATGGGTTAACTGTATGTACTCAAGTATCTTATTGAGAGAGTGATGATAAACTCAAAAGCGAATAGAGCTGAGATCAAGCAAAATGTAGAGAAATTTTGAATGATGACGGTGAGTAACACATTCTGATATTGATAAATCAAATTCAAAGGTCGGTATTTTTTCACCGAGTTTACAACACTAACGTAAATATGCAATATTTTGAAGAAACATACCATGAGCATATAATTAGTATGGACATATATCCACATCCAGTTACATACAGGTTAGTCGTGTTTCAGTCTAATCTACATGATAACTGTAAAATGCACAGAACAGATAACTAGTCATAATTCACCACTGAAAAGTAAATGATTTTCCAGGAAATAGTGAAAATAACATCATATCAAGACGCTCTTCGACGCATTAATTAACCTGATATATTTGTGTGTTTCTGTTTAATTTCGATAAGTAATAGGGATTAAGTAATAGGAATTAATGAAAACACTCATATCAATGTATATTTTTAACCTAAAGAATTCGCTAGTTATTTCTTTTTGAAAGTGTACAACATCATGTTCGGTAATTGCATCAAGCTAATTCCATCGTTTATGATGTCAAACATATTCCAGTTAATCGATACCACGTGTATCTGCTGGATACTGCCATTTTACTGTAATTCTAACTGTTATATCTTACTTCTGAAAAATAAAATTGCTATATGCAGGAAATACAGACTTATTTGTTTTGATGGAGGTAGGGGGGGTTCATGGATTTTAGCACGACTGTAATAATATTCTCACTAAAGAGCTAAGTGAGTGCGTAGACCAATGTAAGGTACCATACAGGGTGCCTTTGAGTTACTCGTGTTCCATTAGTGTCGGCAGAGACATTACTTGCTTATCATATGACATTTGAATAAGAAGCTATGGGATTAGACTCAGGGACGGTTAGGATATATAACGCGTGTCCATCCATCAGTTGCCGTGGCAACTCATGATGGCTAGAATAAGTTGTGAGAGGACTCGAGTCTGTAGACTCCTCAAGAAAATGACGAAGATATGCACCAAATCAACTTATGAAGAGCGCCTCCAATCACTTGACCTCTACCCATTAGAGTATAAACGTCTTAGAGGTGACCTTCTAATGGCTTACAGTATCCTTAACACTTCTGGACACTCTCAAACACCTACTTACGCTTGGTTCCAACACTAACCTAAGAGGTAACACCCAAAAACTGGAGACAACATAGCAGAACGGACTGTAGACGCAACTTCTACTCCTTAGGAGTTGTCAAATGCTGGAATCCGCTGCCTGCCGAGCTAGTCCAAGCGACTTCCCAGGAGTCCTTTAAGAGGCAAGTGGATCTATTCTTAAGGATTAAGGATAGTATCATACTATGATTTACCAATTCCTTTTGTTGTTAACATACCTAGTTTCCTGCCTTGAGGTATTGGTGATCCCCTGCTTCTAGAGACGGAAGCCTGTTAAGCAAAAGCTTCTTCTATTCAGTCTACAACCATTTGAACACATGAACTAGGTGCTGAGAGGCTCGCTTATCACAAGTTTCTTGCAACGATTAAGTAGATAAAATAAAGTAGCATTAGATTCAAAAATTTATTCAAGAACTTTCATTAGGAATCGAATATCAAACAAAGGTTTAAACCAAGTTCCCGTTTAAAAGTTGTATTGGTAATGTTAAGCTGCAGTTTTTGTTGTATTTTTCCAAACGAAAGAGTAAAAGAAGTCAAAAAATACTGGAAGTGGTTGTGAGACTAAAATGGACGTCCAGCATCCTTTTTATAATCTGCTGTTTGTTGGGTCGCCCGTAAACAGTTCCATAGGGCCATAGTTCTAAGGGCGAAACAGTTTTTATGATCTGTGAAGACTCACTCCTGTTGCATTCTAAATGAAAAAATGGTGATGAATTTAGTCAGGAATGTGGAATAGATAAATAACCAAATCACATGTTTTTTAGCAAAGAATTTATGCAGTTGTGATTTACCTTGAGTTCATGAATATTAGATAAGGTCAGCTACTATTACTTGCGCAAAGCGTAACATGGGCTTAGTACCGTATTGCAATGCTTTTATTATTTTGCTCCCGTTTAAGTATTCCCAAACATCTGCGTCTAGTTTATTAATAGGAAAACATACAAGCAGAGTTGGTGTCTGATGAACTAAAAGTCCCAGCTGTCAAAAAGATTCTAAACATTTGTCCACAGCCAGCTTCATCTAATTGAGACTGGGGTGGTTCCCAACAAAAAGGAGCTTGTAAACGGTATATCAATACACTGGTTTAATAATAATATACTAAAAAAGAATTAATGGTAAAGAAACCAAAGTGCCTGTCTGTGAGTAAAAACCAAGAGTAACGAAATATAGTTACGATACAAATGGTATATTATGCAAACAGACAATAACAGTTACTGTAGAATAAATGTTACTTGTGAGCTGCTTCGTGAGAACAACAACCACAAATAAGTTCACTCGATTAACGAAGGTTCCTCTTTAAGTAATTGCACCAACGGCCTATTGAGAATGATTACGTCCAATAGTATTATAATATAATAATCCGTGCCAGAATTCCAACGTGTTCGGAATGGTTAAAGGGATGTTATAACACCATTATAGTCTTCAATCAAAAACCGTGGTCAATAAAGTAGAAGAACAAACGGTGTAGAGAGCGGTTTGTAATTTTTAAACCTCGCGGTAGTAAAACCGTATATTACTCATCGAAACTTCGATAGAACAATGAGAAGACGGAGTTGATCTGAAAAATGTGATGTATTTGCGCTATACATTTCGAACAATCTGGTCACACATATACTTGTCAAAACATTTTTATATGAACATTAATAAAGGTCAAACAAATAAAAGTACAACTAAAATAACTAGGGGGGGAGAAAGAATAAGAAATTGTCGCGTTATCCTAGGCCATAGAATGACTTAAGGATTACCAAGGTAAATTCAAGGTTACGACAAATTGTTTTTGTACACATAAGGGGGGTTTAAATTTACGAATAGCTAAGGCTTCAATAAACTTAAGAATTCGACCTTGATAATTTCTATACAACATTCTAAATGCTGTATTAATGTTAATTTTGTGCCCCGTCTCAATTATGTGTTTTGCTATTGATGAACTTGGTTTTCTACCTCCTACATTGATCGGATCATTTGACACACACTGATTTTGAAGCCATCTGGGTACATGTTCATTGACCCTTGATTGCATTGTTCGATTACACCTCCCTATGTATGTGTGTCCATACAAACATGTAAATTGGTAAATACAATGGGATGTGACGTAATCATTAGTGCATTGTTTGGGTCTATTATGAATCATGGCTGTAGACTTTTCAATCACTACCAACTGAGCAGCATAATACGTATTCTCAATGGCTGCTTTCAATCTGTGCCTTAAAACTACACTGTTTGATTCGCCTCTATATGGTAGATTGATGTAAACCTTTTTCTTTGGCACTGAATAAATTAGAGGTCTTAGCATTAACTGACTTTTACACCTATTAATAAACTTGAGTGGATAACCATTTGCTATTAAAGTGTCAGTCAGTAACTTTTCGTCTTTTTCCACCATATCAGAGGTACATATTCTTCGAGTCTTCTTAAAGAGGCACTTAACTAGACCTCTCTTGTATTGCAATGGACAGAAACTATGGAAATTTAGGGGTGATCTTATCCGCAACGCAACCATGTAAACTTAGTGTATCGCACACTGTCATTTGTGCGTTCAAGTAACCACAGATTTTGTCATTTCATAATGTATGTTTAATTAAATAACTAGATTATGAAGTTAATTTTTCTCTGTTTTTAATTTTTATTCGCCACGTCTGACTGCGTTACACTGTACGTCCATTGCACGCTGGGATGATATCCCAAGTCATAGTGAGTTTATTCACATAGTTGATTGTTTCCAGATAGACTGTCAGTGCATGATTTTAGTGAAGAAAGGTTTGTTGTACTGTAAACTATGTTTCTATGATCAACTCCCTGTTGTCTTCAGTATGAATTCATACTGAATACTGCTTTAAAGCAGTATATATGTATCCTTCTTTTTTTCTTAGGTAAGTTCAACTGGCCTATATTCCGTGTTTTGGTTTTATCGGCTGAAAAATGTCCATTTAACTACTTTGAGCAACATGTCTTTGCAAGTGAAACAATAACTATGACACTTGCTTAGTTTAGTGTTCGTGGTTCAGATTCAGATTTTCAGATTCAGATTTGTGTAGTAAGGACAGAAGGCCTACGGCCTATGTTATTCCTTTTCTAGTATGCTTCTGTGAGTGTCCAGTCTTCTCTTGAAAGAGTCAATTGAAGGTGCGGATACCACTGCTTCAGGCAGCAGGTTCCAAGTATTGATGACTCGGTGTGAAAACCTGTATGCCAGAGGTATTTTGTTCGTTCTTGGCTTTTCTACTCGCCTACTATGTCCTCTGAGGTGTCCCGATCTAGTGGGAAGAAAGAGAGAGAATAAGTTAGGTCCGAAATCATTTCTCAGTATTCTGTACATCAATATTAGATCTCCCCTTAGTCTGCGATAGGACAGAGTAAAGAGGTTCAGTTTTTCAAGCCGCTCTTCATATGATAAACCCCGGAGTTCCGGAATCGCACGCGTAGCTGCCCTCTGTACCTTTTCTAGTATGTCTGAGTCACCTTTTAAACAGGGGCTTGCAGCCTGAACACAGTTCTCTAACTTAGTTCTCACTAAGGATGTGTATAATGTGGTGAACATGGTAGTATCAAGCTTAGTGAATGTCCTTTTTAAAGCCCAGAGGGTTCGAAACCCCTTAACTGCGACCTCCCGGCAATGGGTCGTCGTCTTAAGATCATTGCTCACGGTCACCCCTAGGTCCTTATGAGACCGGACTACGGGTAATGACACATCTCCTATGTTGTACGTATTAACCTTTGAATCCCCCAAGTGCATGTAGACACACTTTTCCGAGTTGATAGGCATTAGCCACTCTTTAGACCAGTTTATCATATTATTTAAGTCCGCCTGAAGAGTAAATGTGTCTGTGTCTCCAGTTATTACTCGCCAAATTTTTACATCGTCAGCGTATAATAACATTGGAGACTGTACTATACTTGTAAGATCATTAACGTACATTATAAAAAGTAAAGGACCTAGGACGGAACCTTGGGGTACTCCACTAAGTACTGGTCTCCAGATGGAGCACTTGGAATTTATTCTTACTTTTTGTCTACGACCTACTAGGAAATCCTTAATCCATTTTAAAAGAGGTCCGGCAATACCAAGGTTTGCCAACTTCAATAGCAGTCTATTAGTTGGCACCTTGTCAAAAGCCTTACTGAAGTCTATGTAGACAACATCCACTGAGTTTCCGTTGTCTAGCGCATTAATCCAGAGCTCCCTAGCTATAAGGAGGTTCGTTGTACAGGATAGACCCTTTCTAAAACCATGTTGTGCCATGTTCAGCAAGTTATTGGTTTCCATAAATGCTGTTATGGTCCGTTTGATTATCCTTTCCAGTATTTTAATAACAACACTGGTGAGGCTTACGGGTCTGTAATTTGATGGAACTTGTCGTAGACCAGTTTTATGTATGGGAGTGACGATTGCGTCCTTCCAGTCCATAGGTAACACACCTTGGTCAAGTGACATTTTGAATATCACAGTCAGTGGGGCTGCGATATATTCGGCAATATGTCTCAAGATTTTAGGGTGTAGTTCATCTGGTCCTGTTGACTTCTCCATGTTTAGGGTGCTAAGAGCCTTAAGCACATCGTTTTGGTCGAAGTCCACGGTGAGCAGCTGGTTTGTTGACTCTGTAATTGGGTCTGGTTCTTTCTCTAGAGGAGGTTCCTGAGTGAAAACTGCCCCAAAGTAGTCAGCCATAATCTCAGCTTTTTCCTGATCTTCCTCTATCATTTCAGATTCACTTCCTACTTTAATTAGGTTGGGAACCCAGTGATGAGTCCTTGTTCTGTAGTTTATGTACGAGAATATCCTCTTGGGCTGCTTGAGTGCAGATTCTGCCAGCTGCATTTCGTATTTTCTTTGCGCTTCCCGAATTTTCGTTATACACACGTTTCTTATCGATCTGTAGTGTTCCATCGTATCTGCTGTGCCAAGGCGGATGGCAACATCCCAGCATTTCTTCTTTTGTCTTAGTAAGCGTCGAATATCCCGCCCTAACCAGGGATGTCCGTGCTTCTTTTTCTTTGGGACAGTCCAGGGTATATATGGTTGAGTTACCCGATTGTATAACTGTCTGAATAGAGTCCATGCCTCTTGTACTGATGCCTTTGAGTCAATTTCCCAGTTCTCAGCCGATGCTGCGGAGTCAATTGCCTGCATATCTGCCTTCCATATGTTAGGACGGGCCGGCGCAATTGTTTGAGAAGCAATTTCAGCCATGAATTTGAATAAGATGACTGCATGGTCACTTCTCCCAAGTGGTGGGAGAAAAGCCGTTTGACCAACGTCCTCACCGTGTGTGAAGACTAAATCTAAAAGAGAGGAAGAGTTTCTTAAGTCGTATCTTGTGGGATCTCTAATGTGTTGGAATAATGCTAGTCCAATCGAGGTTTCTAACAGTTTGGAGTCGAACGACGATATAGATGACTCTACTTCTAAGTTAACCCAGTTTATATATGGTGCATTAAAGTCGCCTACTACAAGGCTTTTACCGTTGTTACACCAGGACTTAAGTTTACTGAGGAGAAAATCGTCTGCTACACATTCTGGACTGCGATAAACTACAACTAATTCAATATCTTGCCTTCGGCATTTCAACTTACATCTCACCAGTTCACATGTCCCTGAAACATGTGCTACTGTCTCAGCTAATCTTATGGTTAGGGTACTTTTCGTGTACACAGTAACCCCGCCTCCCCTTCGGTTTAATCTATCAGCCCTACTGGTTATGAAACCAGTCAATTGGATTTCACTATCTAATACTTCTGACGTTAACCAAGTTTCCGAGACAGCGATAACGTCCGGTTTTTCTTTATCCACCACTGACTTCAGCTCCGCCATTTTATTTAGTAGGCTGCGAGCATTTGTGTAGCACACTTTTAAGTCTGTGGAGAGCTTTCCCTTGCCACCCAGAGTGGCTTGGGGATCGTTTTGCTCCGAACTTTTACAATCTGAAAACCCTTAAGAACGAGGTTTCTTTCACCGTTTCGGCGACGCTCGTTTATTTCCGCTTCTGCAGCCCTTCTCTTAATACGATCAGCTAGGCTGAGGTCCTCACGGACATATATTCCGGACCCAATCAGTTTACGTGAATTACTTAGAACCAGGTTCCTTTCTTCCACCGTGTTGAATGTAACCTTTAGGAGGCGGTTTTTCTGAGGACTTTCGGAATCCACCTTTTTTCCTATTCTATAAAGCTTACAAATACTAACTCCTGAAACTGTATCTGGGAGTAGTTTACTTAATGATGTCTTAATATGATTGAGATCATGTTCAAATCTTGTCTTTGGTTCAGTGTCTGAAGATTCTCTTATCTTATGAAAAATGACTGATCTCTCAGAGAGATCTATCTTTTCACGCGGTGAGGATTTTTCTTCTGATAAAGTCCCTTCCAATGTCTTGCTGACCAGCTGCGTTTTGCCTACAGCCTTTTTCTTCTTATTTTTTTTTCTTCTTACCGGAGTCCATTTGTCACCACTCAGAACAGCCACACCTGGACTATGTGGAACGGTGACAGTTTTATCCTGATCTTCTATTTCGACTAGAGGTGTATGACTGCCGATGTCAATATCAGGCGACACTTCATTTCTCGTTAATGTCAACGGAGATTTCACAATCCCGTCAACCGCAGTCAGGTGTTTAATGGGTCCAGTAGCAGCACTTACTACACTGACACATTCTTCATCGTCAGTACTCCTGTTATCAGTGCTTCCGCCATCGTTTTTCTTGCAGGCCAAAGCCAATAGGCCCATAGCCTCCTGTATTAGTACCTTTTTATCCGTACAGCAGAACACACAAAGCCAATGCGAGTTAGGCTTCGAGCATCTTTTGTAAGCCGTCGGACTTAGTCGTGTACACATTTTGTGATACCACTTTTTACAGTCGTCACACTGCATTCCCTCCTCAACGGAGAACAAACAATTTGGTTGCCCACATTTGTGAGTCTTACCAACCATTGTAATTCGATTTAAAAGGTTTAAAAACAAAAAACGATAACAATGTGAACACAAGTCTTAGTCAAGGACTAAAAACAGGTACCCAGGACAAAATGTAGCAAAAAATTTCAAACTTTAACCAAAGAACTCTTAGTTAAAGTAGACCAAGAATGCTTTTTAGTGCAATAAGTACCAAAAGCAAGTGTAATCACAACAAGTACAAAAATCACTGCCCTTTTTGAAATTAGCGCAATCAGGTTCGTATAATTAAGTTTAGTTGAAAGAATTATGATTTAATTAAGTATAGTGCTTGAAGCCTGTAACGAAACAGGTCAGTTTAGTAAGTAGAGTTGCCTGTTTCTAATGTGTGTACGGATTCAGATCAGTCTGATTAAAAATAGGAAAAAACGTGCCTTTGATGCTGTTGCTGTCATACATTATAAGATAACGATAAGTATGTTTGTTGTTTATTTCTAAACTATACATCTATCACTGACCATATTTCATGATCACTGTCATTAAACAATTTCCCCAGCAATAACATCGGTAGCAAGATAGCTAAGCGTCTGAGCTTTTAGTTGCCCGCAAAACAGCAGTATACAGTCTTAGAAGATGAGTGTTCTGTGTCTCAATTAAATGCAGCTGGCTGTGGACAAATGTTAAGAATCTTTTTGACAACTGGGACTTTTAGTTCATCAGACACCAACTCTGCTTGTATGTTTTCCTATTAATAAACTAGACGCAGATGTTTGGGAATACTTAAACGGGAGCAAAATAATAAAAGCATTGCAATACGGTACTAAGCCCATGTTACGCTTTGCGCAAGTAATAGTAGCTGACCTTATCTAATATTCATGAACTCAAGGTAAATCACAACTGCATAAATTCTTTGCTAAAAAACATGTGATTTGGTTATTTATCTATTCCACATTCCTGACTAAATTCATCACCATTTTTTCATTTAGAATGCAACAGGAGTGAGTCTTCACAGATCATAAAAACTGTTTCGCCCTTAGAACTATGGCCCTATGGAACTGTTTACGGGCGACCCAACAAACAGCAGATTATAAAAAGGATGCTGGACGTCCATTTTAGTCTCACAACCACTTCCAGTATTTTTTGACTTCTTTTACTCTTTCGTTTGGAAAAATACAACAAAAACTGCAGCTTAACATTACCAATACAACTTTTAAACGGGAACTTGGTTTAAACCTTTGTTTGATATTCGATTCCTAATGAAAGTTCTTGAATAAATTTTTGAATCTAATGCTACTTTGTTTTATCTACTTAATCGTTGCAAGAAACTTGTGATAAGCGAGCCTCTCCTGTGTTGTCTATTCCGACTTTGGCATTTAGATCTCCCATCAGGATGGTGAGGTCCTTTCTTGGGCATTTCTCTATGATTGACTGCAGCCGCTCGTAGAACTTATCTTTAATTTCGTCGTTGCTATCATTGGTGGGTGCATAATATTGGATAATATTCATTAAGATCCCCTCCTTCTTTGTTTTGAATGATGCTTTGATGATTCTGGATCCGTGAGATTCCCATCCTACAAGTGCATTTCGTGCTACTTTGGACAGCATTAGAGCGACTCCCTGAGTGTGCAGAGCATAGTCCACTTCGTGACAGGAGTATAGCAGCATCTCTCCCGTATTTAGTCTTTTCTGTCCAGCTTAGGTCCAGTGGGTTTCGCTGATTCCCAGTACTGCTAAGTTGTATCTCCTCATTTCCATTGATATTTGACTGGTCTTCCCGGTTTCCCACATTGTTCGAACGTTCCATGTACCTACAAAAATGTTTGCACTAGTTGTTAGAAGATGCATCGGCCTCGTGGCTTCCGAAGGAACTCGGCTTTCACCATGAAGCGTCATAATTCTTCTAAATGAAGACCTTCTAACTCCCAGGGTAGAGTTAAAATGGTTTGAATTATTTTTTCTGGTAAGCTTTTTTTAGCGAATTAGTTTTCTACAGGATGGGGACGCTAACCCCATGCCCAACCCTCCTCCTTCACCCGGGCTTGGGACCGGCAGTAACTCTAGAAGAGCTACAGGCGGAGTTAATAATAATAATAATGATAATAGTGTCATCAATAATAACGGTAATTAAATTAATAGTTTATCGAAAAATGTAAATACATGTATAAATCATGTAGACAATTAGTGATAAACTGAACGAGTTCAACGAAGTTGAATATCGTTACACCATTAACATTAAACCTCATACGAAACGCATACACATGTAGAGAAAAACATAACGAATTTATCAATCTTAGTAGTACACACGAAATGTTTTTTTAGAAAAAAATTGCTCGCAAAAAAGAATGTTATTAGTAACTCTGCTAATATGGATATTTAACCACATTACAGAAAATGACAAAATAAAGATTAAGTAATGAATTCAACATAACGTTTGGGAAAATGTACATGTCTTCCTGAACGAGTTGTTTTCGTAGAAGTTAAGGTGGCGGAACTATAAGCTAAATTTGTGGGAGCTGTAACTTTAGAAAGGAAAATGACTTGAAAAATTTACAAGACGTAACACATTTCCTAGCTTTGTCACTATATTTTCTATGGTACCAACACATGTTGTCGTCGTTTTTATTTCCTTTTGAGTTATCTCGATTCTTACTCCCTCGAGAACTAGAGCGAGGTCTTGTAGATGTGAAATTGGAGATTAATAATTGTAATGCATCTAGTTTATTTTCAAAGCTGGCAACTGTTCGTTCGTGATGTGCTCGTAGTTCGCCTAACTCAACAGTTAACGATGCTATGGTAGGAGTTTTCTTGTCGTTCGAAGTTTCTGATATTGTCTGTACGTAACGTGTAGTACAGGGTGTAATTTCTAGAATTTTATCGGCCATGCTAGCAAGGCTTTCTAAATCTAATGGTTGGCTAGAAGCGCAAACAATTTGCCTAACTACTGTTGGCAAACTTTGTAGCCAAATTTCCTTGAGGAAATCATCATCAAATTTATAATGGCCAGCCAATTGTCTCATGTGGCGTAATAATTGAGACGGTGACTTGTCGCCTAGCTCACATTCGTGCAGTAATTGTTGTAATCTCTTTTCATCCGATAATGAGGTACGTTGGATAATTGCCTGCTTCAATTGACCATACGGATTAGATGCAAGAATATTATCTATCAAATCTGATACCTCAGATGCTACTTCGGTAGGCAGTAGTCCAAGCACGAAAGAGTATTTTGATGTTTGTTAGCGTATATTACGACGCTGGACCTGTACTTTTACTTGGGCAAACCAAATGCGAGGGTTTAATCGACTGAATGGGGGCACATTTATCAGGTTTAAAGCGTGTAGGTCTGTTGAAAAGTTATCCTGGCTCGTGCCTTCGGTTTCGGAAGTGTACATTACAAATATACAAAAAAACAATTACTACCAAAAGGAAAGTAACACCGTAGCGTATGAGAGTGAACTCGGAATTAGTTTCGAAAAAAAATTTACGGACTCACCAGATTTGTGGTGGTTCCCAACAAAAAGGAGCTTATAAACAGTATATCAATACACTGGTTTAATAATAATATACTAAAAAAGAATTAATGGTAAAGAAACCAAAGTGCCTGTCTGTGAGTAAAAACCAAGAGTAACGAAATATAGTTACGATACAAATGGTATATTATGCAAACAGACAATAACAGTTACTGTAGAATAAATGTTACTTGTGAGCTGCTTCGTGAGAACAACAACCACAAATAAGTTCACCCGATTAACGAAGGTTCCTCTGCAAGTAATTGCACCAACGGCCTATTGAGAATGATTACGTCCAATAGTATTATAATATAATAATCCGTGCCAGAATTCCAACGTGTTCGGAATGGTTAAAGGGATGTTATAACACCATTATAGTCTTCAATCAAAAACCGTGGTCAATAAAGTAGAAGAACAAACGGTGTAGAGAGCGGTTTATAATTTTTAAACCTCGCGGTAGTAAAACCGTATATTATTCATCGAAACAATCATCATCGTTATAAACATGTAGTACAGAAAAACAACAGATATTGAATAAAAATGTGGTTACATATAAAGTGTGACAAATTAGAGAGAAAATACGATTTGTATTTTGTCTTTACTAAAACTCATTGAATATACGTCACCATAAGACACAGAACACTCATCTTCTAAGACCGTAAACTGCTGTTTTGCGCGCAACTGAAAGCTCAGACACTTAGCTATCTTGCTACCGATGTTATTGCTGGGGAAATTGTTTAATGACAGTGAAAATGAAATATGGTTAGTGATAGATGTACAGTTTAGAAATAAACGCCAAACATACTTATCGCTATCTTATAACGCATGACAGCAACAGCATCAAAGGCACGTGTTTTCCTATTTTTAATCAGATTGATTTGAATCCGTATACTCTACTTACTAAACTGATCTGTTTCGTTACAGGCATCAAGCACTATACTTAAGTATATCATAATTCTTTCAACTAAACTGAATTATACGACAACCAAGAACACTAAACTAAGCAAGTGTCATAGTTATTGTTTCATTTGCACAGACATGCTGCTCAAAGTAGTTAAATGGACATAATTAAGCCGATAAAACCAAAACACGAAATATAGGCCAGTTGAACTTACCTAAGAAATTTCTTTTTTTAAAAAGAAGGATACATATATACTGCTTTCATACTGAAGACAACAGGCAGTTGTTCATACAAACACAGTTTACAGTACAACAAACCTTTCTTCACTAAAATCATGCACTGACAGTCTATCTGGAAACAATCAACTATGTGAATAAACTCACTATGACTTGGGATATCATCCCAGCGTGCAATGGACGTACAGTGTAACGCAGTCGGACATGGCGAATAAAAATTAAAAACGGGGCAAAATTAACTACATAATCTAGTTATTTAGTAAAAAATACATTATGAAATGACAAAATCTGTGGTTACTTGAACGCACAGATGACCTTGTGTGATACATTAAATTTACATGGTTGCGTTGCGGATAAGTTCACCCTTAAATGCTTGTTGACATTCTGTGGTCCACAAAAATGTTCGTCCTTTGTGCGTCAGGCGATGCAGAGGTGCTGCCAGGGATACGAAATCGCGTACGAAACGTCTATAATAAGAAGCGAGTCCCAGGAAGCTGCGAACATCCTCGGCAGATTTCGGTTTTTGTCAGTTAATAATGGCGCTCGTTTTTTCCTGATCTGTTACCACTCCCTCTTCCGTAATGCGATGCCCTAAAAAGAGCACTTCTTTTTGCAATAGTCGACATTTAGATGGTTTTACTTTTAGGTTATGCTGCTTAATTCGTTGTAGGACTGCCTTCAAATTGGCATTATGCTGTTCCGGCGTGCTGCCATACACAATAATATCGTCAAGGTAAATTAAACACTGGTGCGGTACGAGACCGTGTAGAACTGTTTGCATTAATCGCTGGAAGGTGGCTGGGGCATTAGTTAGCACGAACGGCATCACTTGAAATTCATATAGACCATTGGCTACTGTGAATGCGGTCGTTTTTCTATCTTGAAGTCGGACTTCCACTCGCCAATACCCTGATGCTAAGTCTAAAGTCGAGAACCAACGAGCGCCTTTCATGGCATTATGTAGCGTCTATACGTGGAAGTGGGAGAGAATCACGTTTAGTTATAGCATTAAGGCGGCGGTAGTCTACGCATAGTCGTAGGGAGGAGTCTCTCTTTTTCACTAAAACGATAGGCGATGCCCATGGTGATGAAGATGGTACAAAAATATTTTTCTTTAGCATGTCTTTTATCATTGATTCTAATTGAGGCTGGTAATGTACTGGTGCTCGGCGAGATGGTTGACGTAATGGCATGTGATCACCTGTGAGGATGAAGTGCTGTACAGTGGTCGTCCGATTTTCAGAGATATTCTCAGAGAAAACGGAACTAAATTGTTGGAGTGCATCAGTGGTTGCTCGACGGTCCTTTTCACTTATTATTTTGTTATCCTGTACCTGACGTACAATTTCTGAAATTTCTACCTGGGCTACGGACTTAGTTGGCATTTCATGGTGTTGTATGTGCACGACAACTCCACCAATACTCGCTTCTGACTTATTCATGTGTATCGAGACCTGGTATTTTAGCATGAAGTCGACCCCGAGAAGCATGTCCCAAGTCAGTGTGGGGCAAACCCAGAATTCATGTTGAAAAGGCTTCTTGTCTATCGTTAGCTCTAACCCTATCTCAGAACACGCTTGCAAGGGTTCTTCGCTCGCGGTAATCATTGTAGAAGAGCATTGTTTACGCTGAGTGCTGTGGCTAA